ATCAAAATTGTTATGGTGACATGAAAGTCAAGCAACCGGTTGTTTGTGGGCCTTGTTGCATCAGAATTGCCCAAAATTCATGGCTATGATATAGGTGGTATGAATTTATGCTGCTATTTTGTGGCAGGCACCTGTTTGCTTTAAGGAGAAGAAGGTGATTAGGAACAGTCAGCATGGATTCACCAAGGGCAGGTCATGCCTGACCAACCTGATTGCCTTTTATGATGAGATGCTTGCTCTGTGGATGCAGGGAGACCAGTAGATGTGGTATGCCTTGATTTTAACAAGGCTTTTGAAACTGTCTCCCACAAAATTCTCTCAGGCAAGCTAATGAAGTATGGGTGGGCTGAATGGACTTTAAGGTGGATAGAAAACTGGCTTGATCATCAGGCTCAATGGCTCAATATCTAGTTGGCAGCCAGTATCAAATGGTGTGCCCCAGGGGTTGGTTCTATGGCCAGTTTTGTATAATATCTTCATCAACAACCTGGAAGATGGCATAGTGTGTCCCCTCAGCAAGGTTGCAGATGACACCAAGCTGAGGGGAGTAGTAGATTTACTGGAGGGTAGGGCTAGGATTTAGAGCGCTGGACAAATTGGAGGATTGGACTAAGATATCTCATGAGGTTCAATAAGGACAAGTGAAAAGTCCTGCACTTAGGATGGAATAATCTCATGCACCAGTACAGCCTGGGGGCTGACTGACTGGGCAGCAGCTCTGCAGAAAAGGACTTGGGGTTATGGTGGACAATAAGCTGAATATGAGCCAACAGTGTGTCCTTGTTGCCAAAAAGGCTAATGGCATACTGGGCTGCATTAGTATGTGTGTTGTCAGTAGGTCAAAGGAAGTGATCATTCCCCTCTATTCAGCACTGGTGAGGCCACATCTGGAGTACTGTGTTCAGTTTTGGGTCCCAAACTACAGAAATGGCGTGGACAAATTGGAGAGAGTTCAGCAGAGGGCAACAAAAATGATGAGGGGGCTGGGGGACTTGATTTCTGAGGAGAGGCTGAGGGAACTGGGCTTATTTAGTCTGGAGAAGAGAAGACTGAGGGGATATTATAGCCTTCAATTACCCGAAGGGGCATTCAAAAGAGGATGGAGCTAGACTGTTCTCAGTGGTGGCAGATGACAGATGCCCATTCCCAGGGCATATAGGGTTGGGTCCCTAGAGTCCCAGGAGTGCCTGCCTGGTTTCCCCCATTTGCACAGGTGGACCCTGGAAATCCCCCAGCAGGGCACTCCCTCGTCACATATTGTTCTGCCAGGCCCTGACGTGAGGCATGCCTCTGCTATCCATGAAACCCAGGGTTTCCCTGTTTGCAGAGATTTGCATGCAGGGAATCTGACTTGAGAAACATCTCTGCAGAATGGGAAAGCCCCAGATTTCCCCCTGTTGCAGAGGCATGCCCAGGGATTCATGCTGAGATATATCCTGGCACAGCTGATCTACTTCATTTAGTGATGCTGGTTTATACCCAAAGAAGCTTAAGCTGATGTCCTCATTGCATTCACTTTGGGTGAGAAAGGGGAGAGGAGACTTCCCTTTAAGACCATCCACCTTTCTGGGAGACCCAAGCCTGCAGTTTTCCATTGATTCCAAGAGGTAGAATTAATAATAGGCTGGAATGATGCAAGGTAAGTTTAGTCTAAACTCAAGAAAAGCTTCCGGGCAGGCTGTGTGGGAGGCTGTGAAATTGTCTCCCAGAAAAAGACACTGGTAATTGGCATCATCTGGAGACTGTCTCCCAGAAAAAGTTGACTGGACAAATCCACAGGAAATAGATTGAAGGGACCAATCCTGCCTCAGGCCCATGAGACAAATGGAAAAGTGAATGGGACCTATAGTGCCTTTTCCATCTCTGACTTGTAGAATTCCCCTCAAAGACGCATAGTGAAGATGACCTCCCCACCCAAGGGCCTCTTTACATAAGGGGCTTAGACCACAGTCCTTTGCTCCTCAGTCCCCTCACAGGTGATGCCAGATCATCATATTAGGTGCTACCTTACCAGAACCTCTGACCCCTTCTTCCCAACTTGTCCATTTGAGGCCATCTGGAAGAACTGGCTCCCTTCTAGGTCTAAGGGGGGCACCAGGTACCTTTCACCTACAGAAACACTGGTGGGAATCTATTCAAAAGTGGGCACAGCAGTGGCACTGGATTCACCTTCTGCTAGAAGTGCAACACTAATATGCTCCCACGGTCCACACAGCATTTCATTTCATACCTTGGCCTGACTCTTTATCTCTCACTGAAATCAGTGCTGCCCTCTCTACAATGGGAACCCTAAGAGAGAGATTTCTTCTCACAGGTGCTGGAGCTGAGTTGGCTACAGCAAGGCTAAATGAATCAAAAGGCAGCTATCATTCAGACTCTCTCCTTACATGCAGCTCTCAGGGTCCCTTAGTGCTGGCACCTGTCAGATAACATAATTTGTAACAAAATGGGGGGGGAGACAGGGGGCCACTCTGACTACTAAATATTATTTGAGATCTCAAAATTCTTCCCAAAGCTCAGAAACCCCAGAATTGTTTCTTCAATCTCAAAAACAGAACCCCAAACTTAGGAATGTTTCATCTTAACTGTAAAGCCCCCCCATACTCTCTTAAATACATCTCAGAACTGGGACACCTCTCTTCACAAGGCATAACCATTCCCAGCTCCTTTTATCAGTAAAGCCCTTTTCTGAGCTCAGGATGTCAGAATTTGGACTCCATTTCGAAGGATCTGGACAACAGAAGGTGCTGGCACCTTGCTCATCCTTCCCTAGGTGTTGCTGTTTACATTTGAGAAGAAAGAGCCCAGGAGACAAATGCTGTATCTAGGACAGCAGCACACAGCAAGCCCGAGACTGTCACGGGACCAGGCTGAACTGAGCTCTGCTGCTGGGCTCATATTACCCAGCTCTGTGGCCGAGCCATTTCTCCATAGTGGACATTTCCAGAGGCAGCTTTAATTGCTTAATTTGCAGGGTTTATCCAGCCATGTTGCAATAGCTTCAAACAAATCAAACAGGCAGTGCTGGAACTGAAAGGCAGCGAGGAGGCTGCTGTCTGCTGACTCCCCAAGGCTATTCAGCACAGGAGCCTCCAGAACCTAATGACAGACAGACAGTCTGCAGAGGGGGCAAGTCCCCTAGAGGCAGCCCCACAAAGCCCAGACCACATACCAATTTTCTCTCAAAAAAGAGGATGCCAGATTATCTCCTGCCTCAAACCTCAGACCCTGGACTCCTATAGAATCAAATATAACACATTTACCTGTAGCTGCAAATGTGGGGCACCTATCTTTGCCCTGCCTGGAATCTCAGTACAGAACTTGCCTTCCCTCCAGACCTGAAGCAGTTTCAGTCACACAGCCCCACCATTCCCAACACTCAATGATTGCTCAGAATTTTAGGAGACAAATAACATCCAGACCCCGAAACCACAGGTAAAAATAAGGACACAGTCTATATATGACAAAGCGTGAGGCCATGGCCCCATTCCTAAGATGCAAATCATGCCTAACCCTGCTTTGAGAGGGTCACCAGGCAGCATCCTGACCCTCATACTGTCACTGTGCCCATCTCTCATCTAGGCAACTAGAGGCACATCAGTTTCCCTCTGCTCTTGCCTCTGCCTGCGGCTGGCAGGCCTCATTGTGAATAGTCCCACGGCATTCAGATTCCAAAGCTCTGTGATCCAAATCGATGGGATGTTTCTGAGAGGATCGATTGTAAATCTGTTGCATCCTCCAGGGTTTGTTTCTGGTCTCCTAGGGCAGGGCTCTGCCTCTGGGAGATCATATGTAGGGTTTGGGAGATGGGGGTTTGCCTGAGAGGATGCATTCTGGAGGTGATTCTGGAAGACGAGTGAGTGGCTGTATTTTAATGGAGAGGAAGGCTTCTCAGAGAAGGAAGTGGGAGTATGGAGGAAGGCTTCTCACGTATGGGGATATGGAGGCTGGGGTTGGAAGTAAGAGGCTGAAGGAGGTATGGGGAGTTCAAGGTTTTCTTGTGGGGGGATAGGAGATGTACAGGGAGGTGAGATAGGTAAGGCAGCTGTGGGGATGTGGGCATGATGGGTGAGGGAGGTGTGAGGATATGGAAGTAGGCATAGAAAGGGTGCATGCATGGGGTATCTGGGGGCAGCCCTAGGTGTAGATTTTGAGGGAGAGGGCCTGGGGTGAGGAAGGCTGTGAATGAGTGTGCGCACACATGTGCACCTGTGGGACGCTGAGAGTTGCTCAGCCCCACCCAGGAGAGAGCTCTTCCATGTTCCCCCTCCTTCCACAAAGCTGGTAGGAGAAATCCCATGGGGGGTGGGGGGTGGAGGGTCTGACCCTATAGCTAAATGCCAACCCTCCCGTGGCAAGGGGCTGCTCAAAGTGATCAAAGCCCATCTCTGGCTCTCCAGACACCTGTCCCCCTCCTCCTCTTGCCTCCCTAGATAACAGAGAATGGTTTGACAGACACCACCTGTTCCAGGGCAGGCAGCTCCTGCTGGGGAGACCCTAGGTTGAGGGAGAGGGGTCATTAATGCCCTGATCCTACTGGGAGGGATGACCGCACCCCTGCCAGCACCAGGTGGGCATTGTTCTCCCCTGCCCCCACCCCCTCAGTGGGGCAGCCTCCGCATGTCTCCTGGGGGAGGCAGCCTGCGGCCTGCCCCCTTGCCCCGGTAGGGGCACAGCCTGGGAGAGAAGTAAAGAGTGAGGGGGCAGGGGGTGCAAACACCTGCTGGCATCTTAGCACGGTAGAAAATGAGGGCGGAAGGGACCGCAGGAGGTCACCCAGCCCAACCCCCTGCTCAGAGCAGGACCAGCCCCAGCTAGATCTTCCCCGGGCAGGAGAAGGGGGTGGGGGAGAAGGGAGCTGGGCTTCACCCCGTGCCCAGCCCGGGAGGCGGAGGGATGTAGGGACAGCAGAGCGGATCAAAGAGATCTCCCTTCCCCCATCTCCCTCCGGGGCCAGACCCGGGGCTCCGGGCAGGGAGGCAGGGAGGCGGCTCCGGTACCTGAAATTGGGAGGCGAGGCGAGGTGCAGCCCCAGGAAGGGAGACGATCCGGCGGGGGACGTGGCTCCTTTCTCTCTCTCCGCCATTCTCCCTCTCCATGCGGGCGGAGCAGGGAGGGAGATGGATGCTGCTGATGCTGGCAGGCAGGGAGGGGAGAGGAGGGGGAGCCGGGCACGGATCCACTGGGGTGGGGGCGCAGCTGGAAGCCGACGCCGAGGACGCCCCTGAGGGCGCCAGCTGCAAGCCAGCGGCCCCCACAGCTGGATGCAGCGGCCCCGCCCCTCTGGGGGGGGGGGTGGCGGGAGGGGGGGAACTGCAGCAGGTAAAGGGGCGGGGGAGCGGCGGCTGAGGGGCCCTAATGCCCAAGGCACCACTGGGTGCCCCCAGGAGGGCTCCTTGCCCGTCAGCCGGGCATTTCCTTGTTTGGAGATCCCACCCCAAGGTGCCCACCAGGGAGGCCCTGCTGAGAGGGGCTGGGGGAGCTGAAGGGGCCTGTGCAGCTGGTGCAGATCATGGGCCAAGCAACCAAGGGGGGCCCCGCAGAAGGCTGCAGCCCAGGGCTGGCTGGGGGAAGGGGCCAGGCTGGGTCTCTGCCAGCTGTAGGGCATTCAAGTCACCAGTTCAGTCCCCCCCACCCCCAGGAAGCAGTCCCCCTGGCAGCAGCAGCCCAGCTTTTCATAAGGCCATTTCATTCCTAGGGCAGAGTGCAAGCACCCCATCCAGCTCCGCATTCGTGCCTCCCTCCCAGTCGAGGCAACAGAGTTGGGAGCGGCAGAGTCAAGCTGTCAGACCAGTTTCAAAGAGAAACCATTTACTGCTGCTTGGAATCAAGCCCCGTCCATCTAGGCCGGATCCCAGGCACCAGCATCTTCTGCAACAGGTTTCTTCAAGACCCTTGTGCCTCTAGTGTATGGAGATACAGGTATCTTTCACTTTATGTGGGTTCTGTATGTGCAAATTCGCTCTTATGCAATGACCCCTTTTTATACCAAAAAAATTGTTGTGTGTGAGGTAACTTCACTCTTATGCGATCGGTGTGGTGGAAGCCCGAAGTCAGCTGCTTTGTGCGGTGCATTGTGGGAGTGATGTGCACCAAAATAGAATCTCTTGTGTGGATCTGTGCTCCTCACTCCTTGTCTGCGACACGTGTTTCTGTATTTGCCATCCCCGTTATGGTAACATTCATCACCACCCTGTGCTTGCATGTACTGTTTGCTGTTGGTGAGTACCACAATTGTCTTGGAAAAGTGGTAGAAATGGGTCTGGGGGTCAATACAGTCAAGGTCTTGGAACATATGCCTATTTGTTACATTGTAAAGCGGGCTCCCTTTATGTGAATTTGAATTATGCGCCATCTTCCAGGAACACACATACAGCATAAAGTAAAGGAAACCTGTATTGTTTTCTCTCTCCAGAGCACCTCCTTCCAGTTAGAGGTGAAGTGAGCCTCAAACAAATACCACTTTGAGCATGAACCATGTGTGCCCCCAGCGGCTGGGGGGGGGCATGGCAGCAACAGAAGCATTGTGGCAGAAGCACGGCAGTGGTAAGTGAGGGCTCCCGTAGACACCCCCAGTGCCAGTGGCGGCAGGGGAGGGGGGGGGGGGGCACAAAGGGGGTGCCAACCAGGGGTCAGCAACCACCCACAGATACTGCCAACAGCCTTTCTGTAGGGGGTGTGCTGCCACACTCAGGGGGTGCACATGCACCTGCGTGCACCCCCTATGCATCGCCCCTGACCTTGAGGGGCAAACCCTAGTCCATGGAAGTGTGATTCAACAGTAGTAGAGCTTGGCCATGGGCTCCACTGTTGGGAACAAGTAGGGCTTTCATCCTTCGTTTAAGCAGGTCTATCAATGTGACCATGCTTGAGTTCTCTTGGGAACAATGGTTCATTGACCCAACCCTGCCAATTTAGGTATCAGATCAGGTGATCCCTTTGTTTTGAAGCTGTGCTTGGAACCTAGGCCACACAGGCTGGACTTTAACAAGTGAAGCACTGCCAGCCATAGCTGCCTGTGCCTTTGCTTATGCTGGGCCACCACAATGTCTGTTTTCATATTTCTATAAGTAGTCTGGGTATAGTGATATCCCATATCTCGCCCCATGTGCATAGAAGAGCACATTTCCTTAGGTCACCACCTATTGGGGGATCTAGGTTTGGGCATGGATATGCATCAGTAGCTGTTCTTGGAGGCTAAATTACATGTTGGCTAAATATGCCCACTAGTGGGCGAGCTCTAGTGGGATGAAACAAGCTGGGAACTCACCATGAAGCAATGCAATTTTCATAAGTCTGCCTATGGCAGAATACGTGAGTCTCCCTGGACACTCCATCATTCACCTGAGGGTGGCTGGTCTCAGAGAGCAAACTTTTAAAAACTATTTGACTGGGAAACTGCAGAACAGGAAGTCACCCCCACACTAGATTGCTTAAGCATAGTTTAAAAAGGAACTGTGCATTCTTAACCTGTTACCTGCATTACATTTTGCAATTCCTTTGTTTCCATGGGTTTACTATCTGCACATTTGCCTCTTCCAGCACTGCTCTTCCTTCTTCTGCTTTTGTAGTCCAGTTTTTCTTCCTTATACAAAGCTTCATGCACATCCTTTCACAGCATCTGATTAAAATGAGCTCAGGCCCATGAAAGCTTGTGTTACATATTTATATCTGGCCAATTATATATACAGGCAGGGTAGATTTGCACCTTGATATACTAAGCTATATATATCTAGCTTAGTTTATAAGGCACAAATCTACCTTGTCTTATATTAGCACAGTTAAGTCGAGTAGAAGTTTGGATCCTATTTTACATGGAGAGGCTACAATACTTAGGAAATTAGACTTTTCTTTTTCAAGGTAACTGCCACCAGTTCTGGGCCCTGTTGCTCTATCTGCAGTCAAGTGCTTATGTCTACATTGGCTTCCACAGGAACTCAGAACCTTTAAAGACTTTCTCTTAAAACTCCCTGTTTAGAGTGGTCCTTTACCTATTTCCAATAAAGGGCTAGGTTAATATTTTGGAACCATTTGGTCTACAGCTGAGATTACAATAGGAATGGGTGATATGCACTGACTCAAGACTACATGCAATATAAATACTTGTATACATTATCAAAGAAAATTAGGGTTGGAAGCAAGGTTCCCTCCAAGGTGTGCACATGCGCGGCTGCGCACAATTTAAAATCTTGCTGCATACCCACCTGGAGAGGAGCGCAGCAGAGGCATCAGGAGCCTGGTGGCACAGGACATTTACCAGAGGTAAGCTCCTCATGTCTCAGACAGCGGCTCCTCCCCGAGGCGAGGGGAGGGGGCAGAGTGCCTCCTCGTGACACCAGGGAACTGGTCTGACTGTTTTTTCTACCTTGTTGTGGTCGGAATATGCCACCTCTTCCGCTGCATCCAGTGTGCTGGGACGTTCATTTAATTACTGGCTGAGTGCCGGGAGGAGTTGCGGGCCCCGGCGAGGGATCAGGAGGCCCCAGAACTGCATCCTGTAGCAGGTCCCCAAAGATTGTTGGCTGGCCCTGAATGTGATTTCCCTCTCATACAAGTTCTACACCACTGTAAGTTTCTATTTTTCAATTAAGTCACTGCTGATTTGCAAAGGCATAGATGAAAAGAAAATATGGGCCTATAAACACCATAGAAGGAAACCATGGCATGTAAGCAGTTCACATGACTTTTAGTGGTGCACAGAACTCTTTTACTGCTTTCTTTATTTTACTTTTCTTTGGCACAATGTTTGGGTAAAGCTATTTAAGTTAATATGCAAGTACTTGTAGGAGTTTCTTCATCAATACACACTCAGGTACTGAGGTTATGCTGGTATCTGATTTTGTGTGAGGGGAATCAGACCCTAACCCTCCAGTTGTTTGTGACAACTGACAATTTTAACTCTTAAATCTGTTCATGAATATATAATACCCTGTAAACACAATACCTTGCTGCTGTCCTTGAGGCACATTGCAGAGCCCCACCAGGCTTATCCAAACAATACATAAGATTGTTTAAGCAGAACTCAATTACTATTCAAGTGGTCATGTTTGTTACACTGTTAACGGGAACGGACTGAAGTGGCGCGCTCACGGACCAAAGCTGTGTGCTCATGGATCATTACACTTTAGAGGTAATATTGGTTGGAAGGGACCTCAGGAGATCATCTACTCCAACCTCCTGCTCAAAGTAGGACCATCCCCAACTAGATCATCCTAGCCAAGGCTTTGTTGAGCTGGGCCTTGAAAACCCCCAAGAACGGAGATTCCACCACTGCTGTTCCAGTGCTTCACCATCCTTCTAGTGAGAGAGTTTTTCCTAATATCCAGCCTAAGCTTCCCTTACTGCAGCTTGAGACCCTTGCTCCTTATTCTGCCATCTGCCACCACTGAGAACAGTCTAGCTCCATCCTCATTGTAATCACCCTTCAGATAGCTAAAGGCTGCTATCAAATCCCCCCCTCAATCTTCTCTTCTTCAGTCTATCCCATATGAGATTGTTCAACTAAAACATAATTGATCAAGCTACATGGGATACATGCTTTAGTTTAGCTGGGATGTGCCTGTGCACAGATGAGTGGAGGCGCTACATGCTTCTCATTGTTGGAACTCAAGCCACAGATTAAGCATGTTCTCAGTAGATGAGATTTATCCCTTCTCAATAAAATCATGAAGTTCCCACTTCATCTCTTGACAAGAGAAGCCCTGCATGCTCTTAGAGATTAAAAGACAACTCCGTGTACCATATCACCTTCAGGCATCTGGGACAGTTGAACCCCTGAACTAGAGTGATAAATACTTTTAAAAATGGTCTCCAAATAATACTTGTGACTGGAACCCAAAGTCATTCTTTGTTGCTATAGCCCTGCACTCATCTTCAAACTAGTCCATGAGCATTATACCTTCTGCATTCACTTGCTGGCTCTCTTGCTAAATTAGTACAACAGAATGTGTGCTGCTCTGCACAGTGCTGAAATGGAAATCCAGCCAGCTACTTGGCAGATTGTAGCATTTTAGTTTCACAGTTATGATACACAGCCCTCTTGTTAGGACTATTAGAATTCCCATACTGAGTCTGGACAGCAGGCCATCCAAGTTCTCTCTTCTGCTACAGACACCTATATGACAATGCTTATATCTGTCTTGGAAGCCTTTCTGTCACAAGGAACAATTCTGAAGTGTGCTGTATGTAACAGGTTTCCTCCCATGTCCAGCATCGCTACATCAAATCACTTCAACACATCCCAAGTCCAGGCCATGTTATTTGGTC